ATTTTGAAATTGATTACCAATTATCCATTTAGTAGGCAAAGACAAATCTATACTACATGTCGCGCAATACACAACTTTAATCACCAGGAACACACTTTAGATAGATTATTTGCTGAGTATTTAGAGGAGAATATAGTATTTCAAGATATACCGAAGTCGGGTCAAGATCAAGAAGTCATACATTTTATGCTGGTCAAACAACTCAATGGGACAAGTCATGGATCAAATTACTACACACATGTGGAATGACTACTCAAGACGTCGTACATGATTCCGTGGATTTATTTCATATTTTACTTAGTATCTGCTTGTTTTGTCATGACATGTAAATTTCTAATTGTATCGATTAGGCTGTTTTGCCAAATTTAATTTAGGTTATGTTTTTTATATTTGGAAAAAAATATTTTAAGATTCACCAATTTCAAAATTTATATGTTATTTAATACTATATTAACATTAAACTATTAAAACTTATTGAATAATCAGATTTCTTGAATAAAATATTATTAAAAAAAATTCTCAAAATTTCAAAGTAAACGCGTTTTCCATTTTTGAATAAAATATTATTAAAAAATATTCTCAAAATTTCAAAATAAACACGTTTTTCATTTCTATATTTTGAGAGAAAAAATCAGAATGACAACAAGATGGCATTTTCAGAAATTTCAAAACAGACACTCAAAACACCAAATGAATTCAAAACTCAAAACTAAAATACAAAGAGAACAACCCCTAAATTTTTACAAGGAGATGGGTTAGATTGGCGGCAGAAAATGGAGAAAAAAGAAGAATGGTTGGTGAAGAAGGTAATGGGGGAAGTGGTGATGGCTACTGGTTTTGCTCGGTGGGGTTGGGTGGAGAAGATGATGATGATGAAGAAATTTGGGGGTTGGGTTCTGGTAGGAATGGTAAAAAAGCTCGTCGGCTCGGGTTCAACCCGGAAAAAGCCCGAGCCAGGCCCGACTGGTGATTGGTTCCACCGAGCCGAGGCTCAGGCTGAGCCCCATTTTGGGGAGTCGGTCCGAGCCCTGGCCATTTCGGCCCTTTTTTTTAAAAAAAAAATTAAATAAAGCTACATGCACAAGTACAAGCAATTGTTGCAGGCAACTATTTAAGCTGCCTGCACGAATATAAAAAAAAAATCTAGCCGACTCGAGCCTCTTTTTTTGGCCTAGCTTTTACTCGACTCGACTCGGGCCAAAAAAAGTTCAGCCCTTTTTGGCTCGAGCCGAGCCCGAACTTCGAGTTTCAGCTCATGGCTCGACTCGACTCGACTTGACTTGTTGCCATGACTAAGTTCTGGAAAGGGGATGTAGATTTTTTATTTTAGATTTTTTATTTAATTATTATATTTGTGTTTTTATGAAAAAACTAAATATAACTTTACCATTTTACCCTTTTAATTTGGTTAAAATTAGTCAAGATTTTATTTTTTGGGTCAACTAACGGTCAAACTAGCAGAATTTATCCATTTAGACCTCATGTGCTAATTTTTGAAAGGTTTGGAATTATGGGTTGTATGGAGTGAAGGTTAAGGTAAAGTTTGCAAAAAAAAAAAAAAAGGTTTGGGATCGCTGCTGCAATTATCCCTAAAAAATATTTAGAATCTTTGATTATGAATAAAAATGCCTCGATGGACCCATACAAATCATAATATTTAGAGAACAATGCATAAATCAGGTGTTTACTATATTTAATTTTATTTTTAAGAAACAAGGTTTAAAAATTTTAGATTATGATAAAAGTTTTTGAAATGTGTGATTGAAAAGTTGTGGGACCTGTGAAAAATGTGGCTAATATTGATTGTTTGACTTTAATTTAGATTAAAATCTGATTTTAATTCGAAATAAATATGACCTTAATATGTATTAAATTAAATTTTAATTCCTAAAATGAAGTATTCAGTTATACATGTTTTCATACAAAAATGAACTCCATTTTAAGTGTGACGATTGAATAGAGAGATAATTTGTAGAGAACTCACCAGAGCAACTAACTTTGATTCCCATCGCCAAAATCTGGTTAATCGAAACCTGCTGAACGATTGGGGTAACAAATTGGAAGTTATCGATATTGTATATTAGAAGATAGAATCTACAGAGAACTTACTGAAGAAAATAACTTCGATTCTCATCGATAAAATCTAATTAATTCAAACCCGCCAACGATTAAGATCTTAAATTAGAAGTTGTCGGCACTGTGTATCAGAAAATCAAATAAACTGAGAATCTATAGAGAACTTTTCGGATCAAATTATTTTAATCATCATCGCCGAAATTTGGTTAATTGAAACCATTGAATGATTGAGGTCACAAAATGGAAGTTGTCAGCACTATATATTGAAATTTTTTAAGGCAACTGTAACAACCGAGGTCGGAGAAATCGGTGGCATGTGACTAGTTTTCTAGATCTGTAACATGTGAACTTTAATCTGTTACCTATGCAAATGACTTGCGACCTGTAATATATGAACTGTGACCTGTAAACTTGAATTCGTGACTTATTTCGATGTACAAAGACATGTGACATATGATCTATAACAAATTATTTTTGATCTGTGACATATTGATACTAATTTGTGACCTATACAATATAACCTATGATGTGAAGCGTGACCTATAAACTGTAAACGTGATCTCGATGTACAAAGACATGTGACATATGATCGATGACAAATTATTTTTGATATATGTCACTGATTTGTGACTTATACAATATAACCTATGGCATGTGAAGTGTGACCTATAACCTGTAAACGTGATCTATGGCCAATTCCATTTTATCTTTCACCTATGGACATTTATCTGTGATTTATGCACAATGACCTATGACCATGACAATCACCACCACCAAATATCAACATAGCATTCGACATACATTTTATGAACATGTGACCACTACCACCACAAAACCATAACAAAACCGCCGCAAAACCACCACTAAACCATACTCTATGAATCTATAGCCGCTGCACGCGATGCTCTACGGTACTCAGTTCACAGCTGTTCTGGTGTTCACAGCAACGAGCGACGTCGCTGATGTGAGTGCCGATGAAGAAAAAAAGATGGGTAGAGAGAAATAGTAGAGAGAGAATGGAGAGGATAGAGAAGGAAGAAAAGGGGTTAGGAGTGAGTAGGGATGGGGTGTATAGATTAATTTAATTTTATAATATTATTATTTAAATTTAAGAAACTGAATGATCATTTGATTTTTGTATAAACAATTTTTTAGATCTTATTAGTGAAATTGAAACTTAAAAAACATGTCGTGGTGTAATTTCCACTAATCTTTGTTCTTTTTGCGTTCTTTTAGTTTTTAGCAAAAATTAAATTAATAAAATACAACTTAAGAATTCCAACTTCAAAGACTGAACAGACTAGAAGCTCGAAAAAATAAAATAGGATAAACCCTTATAGTGACTATGAGTAATTAATTAATATCAAAGAAATTAATTTAAAAATTACCCTTTGTATACAACTGGGCAATGTTGATTTAACGAGCAATTAAATCTGATTATGGATTAATTCATTGATTATTTCACAAATCAAGTTTCTAAGTAGTATTTATCTTTACTTTAGCAAAATATGAAGGGATTTTTATCGTCCTAAAACGAGTTTGTATAAACCCGAAATCACTAATTAATTAATTGTAAGTGGGACACAAATTTTGATTAATATCTCACAAATCCTTTTAATAATCAATATTTTAAAAATATAGCTTGGTAAGATTTCTATCCTAAGGTCATAAGTGACAAAATTATCTTTCCTTCGCCTTTCAAACTTGCACCATTCCACATAAACGTGATCGCACGCAAAGATACTAACGTACAAAGAGTAATATGCAAATATTTGCGTGATCGGTGCTATTGTATCGATCAGTATAACCATGGGCGGAGCCAAGAAATTCGTTCAGTACGGGCACAATTTTATTGACAATGAACTTTGAGTTTTTGGTCATGGATTTAATGAT